TTTCCCCAAATAAAAGCGTGAAAATTTAGCCCTCTGTGACACACTTGGTTTGACACAATGTGACCATGAGCATGGCCATGAAGGAGGGGACAAACCCTGCTGCTGTTGGACTGCCTGTGCCTCTTACACAGACTGGGGGTTCAGCATCAGCCCTTATGAGGTGGGGCAGGATCTAGACCTGAGGTGCACAGGCTGAGTCCATCCTGCCCTATGTCTCCCTTTCCCAGCAGGATGAAGGCAAATTTCCCTCCCTGCTACAGTTCTGGGAAGCTAGTCAGGTGTTGGTCTCACCTGGAAACCTGTTCTCTGTGCAGGGCTGACGGAAAACACTGCCTGGAATGGTTTTCCATCAGATAGCAGGGGTTTATTGGAATCAAATCTTTCCCTGGGAACCTGTCGATCTCGCTGCCATTTTCCCCGGGAAGAAGCCTCCCGGAATCACTTTGACTTTCTCCTTTCAGCAGTGTCAAAATGTTTATTCTGAGCATGTCAAAACACCCAAGTTCATTGCAGGAAAGTAAAAATATTTCATTCTGACTTTATCATTTCCCTCACTTAACTTCCACTTTATGTTCCGTGAAAGTACTTTTTAATCGGCGCCGCTTGAGCTCCTCTCGCGCTGCGACTTCCCGGGGAGGAGGCGACAAGGGATCGTCACACGTGTCATTCCAGGGCCCAAATTAGCATTTGGGAGAATTGTCATTTCACAGGATGTGCTGCACGTGTGGCTTTGCCTCCCAAAGCAGAGCAGGTGCCTCACACGCTGCTGGAGTTGTCTCGGTGCTTCCCCCCATCCAGCTCTCTGCAGACACCCAACAACTGATGATTCCCATTGGGATCAGGGGCATGAGGTGAGGCTGATGGATGTGATGGGCACACCGGCGTGCTCCCCTCTCCCCTGATGCCACTCTCCCTCTATCCCCTGGTGCCCTTGCAGTTGGGAATGCTGATCTGTGATGCTAGAAGCTGAATTTTTCCTTGGCAGTTGGACAAACTGGTCCCAAACACAGTCCTTGGAGCCTGCTGGTGGTTTTTGGCATGGGCAGATATCCCACCTGCCTTCCAGCACAGCCCTGCCCAGCGTGGTTCCTCCTCGCTTCCCAGAGCTCCATCACCACCTGTGGGGTTCTGCCCTGGACCCTGGAGCTGCTGGAATGGTGAAGGGGATGGGGGCTCCAAAACAGCTCTCAGGGGTCAATCTGGGTAGGGGTGGAAAGGGTAGAGGGGTTGTTGTGGGGTGTTGAACATGGGATGTTGTGGGAACCATTCAGATGGAGGAAAGGTGAAGGTCCTGCTGGCTCAGTGGGGTGAGATAGGAGGTGACACCAGCACCAGAACAGCAAGCCTTGGCTCTGCCCAGAACTGCCAGGGAGATGGGGGAGCAGGAGCTCAGGCTGCAACGCCCTCCTGGGATCTGATCCATGAGGAGATGCCTGGAGCAGCAGCTCTCCACCTCCTCCTCCTCTACCTCCTCCTCCTCCTCCTCCCACAACCAGCCCCTCTCCCTTCATGTAGAGGGCTGTGATCCCCCAGCTCTGCCCAGACCCTGCCCTCCCAGCTCCCCCTGCCCAGCGAGGGTTTGCCCTGGGGGGCAGTGCTGAGGTACCCCCTGGAGGTCCCCCTGTTCACACCATCCTGAGACCGTGCAGAGCAGTTTTGCAGGTGACTCTCATCAGCCAAACATTGTAACATCCACCACCCCCAGGCATTGGAGCATCCACCAGCCTATCCACCCGCTGCTGGTGGGCACAGCTCCAGTGCTTTCTGGGGGCAGAGCTGAGACAGGGCAGGTACAGCCCCGCTCACTGCCACCCTTGCGTGCGAGGAGCAGCTCACATGTGCATGGCAGGATGTGTCAGAGTTGGTCCTGCCCACTCCATCCCCACTGAGCGCTCCTGTTTGCCCTTTCAGCCTCACTCTTCCCACCTTGGAGGTGGTGGGCACCTTACCAAGGCTGGGCACATCTGTGTCACCCCTCCCCTCCCGCTCCTGAAGTGTGAGCTTCACACCACAAACCAAGCTGCTGAATGGCTTCATCATCATCAAGAGCTAACTGGCTCATGCCCCAGAGCTGGAGGGCAGAGGAGCCCCCTTTCCTGGCAGGATGGGCAGAGAGGGGGAAGCAGGACACTCCATGGAACACCTTTGTCCAGGTGCTGCTGGAAGCCATCAGGGAAAGGACAGACTGGGGTGTTGCATCGGGCAGGGGCTGCACTGGCGTGGGAAAGATCATAGAATCTCAGAATATCCTGAGCTGGAAGGGACTCACAGGGATCTATGAGTCCAACTCCTGGCCCTGCACAGGACATCCCAACAATCCCACCATGTGCCTGAGGGTGCTCCTTGAGCTGTGGCGGGTTTGGGGCTGTGACTGCTTCCCAAGGATCCCAAGACCCTGCAGCACCACCCATCTATCACCCCCTTCCCTGTTGCTGCTGCTGCCCTGATGGCTCTGCTCTGCTCTGCTCTTTTCCCCTGGACCTGCTGTGCCCATGCTCATCCCAGGCTCTGGAGCAGCAGGTGAGGGGTGTGCAAGGGATGCCAGGGATGGGAGCACCATGGGGTGGGAGCACCATGGGATAGGAGTACCATGGGATGGGAGCAGCTTTGGTTGCTTTTAGGTGCGAGGAGCCACAAAGTTGTCCAAAACAGGCCTGTCAACTCCCCCCTGAGGGCCATCCCTGTGTGTCTGGGGCAGTTCTGCTGTGCAGGTGGGGAAACTGAGGCAGCAGAGGAGTGAGCCCAGTGTGGTCCTGCAGAATTAGGCACTGATGAAGCTCCATGGTGACCTGGCAGCACGGGCAGGGAGCTCTGAGCGCTGTCCCCAAGGGATGAGTTGGCTCAGGGAGAGGCACCTGCTGCAGGGCAGGAGGAGAAGTGCTGCAAGAGAAAGGGAGCAGCACCGGGCAGGGACAGGCACGGGAAGGGCTGTGCAGGCTCAACCCTCCACTCAGCTCAGCACTGGGGAACTGGGCTGGGAAAACAAGGCTGGAAGAGCAGGTGAGAAATGTGGGAGTGTTTTGCCTAAGGCAAGACTGAGGGAAGAAACACTCCTGGCTCCAAATGGGCAAAAGGCTGTGGAAAGGGAATGGTTCTGCCTGTGGATCCTCGGGAAGGGGAAGGACGTAAACCACAGCAAGGGAAACTTGGGATAGTCGCTGGAGAAATGCTCTGGGGAGGAGGGAGGCACAGGGAGATGAGCATGGTAGCACCACCCTGGGGTCTGTGGGGTCAGGGGGCGTTTGGGGTCAGGTCTGTCCTGAGAGTGCTCTGGTACCCCCATAGCCAAGATGGCCAGGGCATGTCTGATGCCAGCCTGGCTCAGCCCTCTGGGGCTTGTGGAACCAAGGAGATGAGGGGCTTGGCCAGCAGGTCCCCAGCTGCCTGGCAGGGAATGAGGGAACACCCCCCCCCAAGCCTTCATGCTGTCCTGTGCCCCAGGGACAGCTGGAGCCTCTGCAGCCAGCACTGTCGCTGTGGGTTGTGAAACAGAGCACTTGTCAACTCCCGCCTGTGTATTGTATTATATTTATTATATTATATCTATTAGATTATATTATACTTTATTATATTATTAGAGCTGTCAGGCCGAGCACTCCCAGGCTGGAACCATCAGCTCCTCAGTTGCTTGGGTAACCTCAGCCCGTCCCCTCGGACCAGGAACGGGGCTGCAGGAGCAGGACCGCACCTGACTGTGGCAGGAAAGACACTGTTACAGGCACAGCTGGTGGCACTTAGGGTGACAAAGCCCGGGGGGATTCAGGGAGCTCAGTGACAGTGTTCCCAGGGCCAGCCAGGCACGGCGGGTGAGGACGGGCAGAGTGGCTGCCCGTCCTGGGGTGGTGGGGAGGGGGAAAAGGCGGGTGTGAGGAGGCGTGTGTTGGGGTGCAGGCAGCGGAGTGGGCACGGGCAGGGCTCAGGCGTGTGTCCCCCGCGGGTGCTGGGTGAGAGATCCGTGTGGGTGCAGGATGAGGTGTTTGCACCCTCGTGGGTGCCGGGGGTGCGCGGGTTGGGGCAGCGCCCCTGCCCTCCTGCCCTGCCAGGCCCCGGGTGGGCTTCGTGTGTCTGACTAAACATCACCGCGTCCCCTGCGGTGACACCACCGGGGAGCCACCGGGCTGCTGGGCCCGGCGGGCTGCGGGCAGGGCCGGGGTCGGGGCCGGGTCGGGTTTGGGATCGGGGTCGGGGCCGGGGGCCGCCGCAAGGTGGGCGGGGGGCGTGGCCTCATGTGAAGGGGCGTGGCCTCATTCTAGGGGGCGTGTCTGCCCGCGGTGGGCGGGGCCGCTCGCATGATGTCCCCCGGCGGGGGCGTGGCCGAGGCTCTCGGGGGCGTGGCCCGTAGTGAAGGGGGCGTGCCCCGCGTTGCCCGGGGTGACGCGCGGATGCAGCCGGAGTCCGTGACGTCACCCTCGGTGGGCGGGGTCTCTCCCCCCTCCCCATTCATCCCCCCTCGCGCCCGGAGCGTCCCGCCGGCGCCGGGCCAATCAGCGCGCGAGGGGGGCGTGGCCGCCGGG